TGCACTACCGAGTGGGCCCAGTGATACCTCTCCGTTATACGGAGTGACAAATCCCAGTCTCGATCCGTGTCAGCCCAACAGACACTTTCGGAGATACCTGTAGTGCACCTTTATAGTCACCCAGTTACGTTGTGACGTTTGGTACACCCAAAGCACTCCTACGGTATCCGGGAGTTACACGTTCTCATGGTCTAAGGAAGAGATACTTGACATAGGAAAAGCTCTAGCAAAACGAACTACACGATCTTGTGTTATGCTTAGGATTGGGTCTTGTCCATCACATCATTCTCCTAATGATGTGATCCCGTTATCAACGACATCCAATGTCCATAGTCAGGAAACCATGACTATCTGTTGATCAACGAGCTAGTCAACTAGAGGCTCGCTAGGGACATGTTGTGGTCTAAGTATTCACACATGTATTACGATTTCCGCATAATACAATTATAGCATGAATAAAAGACAATTATCATGAACAAGGAAATATAATAATAATCCTTTTATTATTGCCTCTAGGGCATATTTCCAACACATTGGATGTCATTGATAACGGGATCACATCATTAGGAGAATGATGTGATGGACAAGACCCAATCCTAAGCATAGCACAAGGTCGTGTAGTTCGTTTGCTAGAGCTTTTCCAATGTCAAGTATCATTTCCTTAGACCATGAGATCGTGTAACTCCCGGATGCCGTAGGAGTGCTTTGCGTGTACCAAACGTCACAACGTAACCGGGTGACTATAAAGGTATACTACGGGTATCCCCGAAAGTATCTGTTGGGTTGACACGGATCGAGACTGGGATTTGTCACTCCATTGACGGAGAGGTATCTCTGGGCCCACTCGGTAATGCATCATCATAATGAGCTCAATGTGGCCAAGTGTTTGGTCACGGGATCATGCATTACGGTACGAGTAAAGTGACTTGCCGGTAACGAGATTGAACGAGGTATTGGGATACCGACGATCGAATCTCGGGCAAGTAACGTACCGATTGATAAAGGGAATTGTATACGGGATTACTTGAATCCTCGACATCGTGGTTCATCCGATGAGATCATCGAGGAGCATGTGGGAGCCAATATGGGTATCCAGATCCCGCTGTTGGTTATTGACAGGAGAGTCGTCTCGGTCATGTCTGCGTGTCTCCCGAACCCGTAGGGTCTACACACTTATGGTTCGATGACGCTAGGGTTGTAGAGATATTAGTATGCGGTAACCCGAAAGTTGTTCGGAGTCCCGGATGAGATCCCGGACGTCACGAGGAGTTCCGGAATGGTCCAAAGGTGAAGAATTATATATAGGAAGTCCACTTTCGGCCACCGGGAAAGTTTCGGGGGTCACCAGTATTGTACCGGGACCACCGAAAGGGTCCCGGGGGTCCACCGGGTGGGGCCACCTATGCCAGAGGGCCCCATGGGCTGAAGTGGGAGGGGAACCAGCCCATGCTGGGCTGGTGCGCCTCCCTTGGGCCTCCCCTGCGCCTAGGGTTGGAAACCCTAGGGGGGGGGGGGCGCCCCACTTGACTTGGGGGGCAAGTCCCGCCCTAGGCCGCCCCCCTTGAGATGGGATCTCTAGGGGCCGGTGCACCCCCTAGGGCCCCTATATAAAGAGGGGGAGGGAGGGCAGCCGCACCCTAGTCCCTGGCGCCTCCCTCTCCCCTCGCAACACCTTCCCTTCTTGCTGAGCTTGGCGAAGCCCTGCCGAGATCGCCGCTGCTTCCACCACCACGCCGTCGTGCTGCTGGATCTCCATCAACCTCTCCCTCCCCCTTGCTGGATCAAGAAGGAGGACATGTCTTCCCCAACCGTACGTGTGTTGAACGCGGAGGTGCTGTCCGTTCGGCACTAGGATCTTCGGTGATTTGGATCACGACGAGTACGACTCCCTCAACCTCGTTCTCTTGAACGCTTCCGCTCGCGATCTACAAGGGTATGTAGATGCACTCCTATCTCTCGTTGCTAGATGACTCCATAGATTGATCTTGGTGAAGCGTAAATTTTTTTTATTTTCTGCAACGTTCCCCAACAAGGGCACCATAAGTGTTTTCCCAAACAAATTTTTATTTTTTATTGCTTTATGAAACAACATTATTCAAATCCAGTTAGATCACCCCTGGTGGCTGAGAGGGAAGGATAAGAAATGCGAGCAAGTTTCCGACCCATTCCCCAGCACCGCTGGTCCCCTCCCCCTCTGACGGTCGCTTTGGTGGGGGGACAGTGGGGGAATCTCGATCTATGTTCCTAATGCACATATAGGGCTAGGTTCCTCGATGGAGCAGTTGAGATGGGGAAGACGGAGCCCTGTCCGAATAAATTTGCTCGAGCTTGGTCCCAATCTGGCGATGCGTCCAATGGTGGTATCGACGAGCTGGAGGTTTGGTTTCCTCTTGGACCCATCGATTCAGTGAGGTCTGCATCTCCTGGTGTGGTCTTTTTAACTAGGGGAGGCCATGACCATGCTGTGGAACTCTTGTTCCCCGTCTCTATATCCGACGCAGTGTTGAGTGCTCCCGCTACGTCATGGAGGCTATGCGGTTTCTTCAGGGGTGGCTTTGCCGGCGATGGATGTGTTTAACGTGCTCTAATGGCGTCCGCGGCATCCGTTCATTGACTTCGGATTCTTCCTAGGTTGCTAGTCCTCTTAGGCTGAAGAAGTTGAATTCCCGCCCTAAACAAGGTTTGGCCGGCTTTTCAGAAAAGAAGTGGAGGGGCACAATGTGCAAACCGTCTTTTTAATGGACAGTTCTAATCGGGAATGTTTCTGGTGCACCGGGCGCCATTGCGCATTTTAATTTGTTTTGAAGAATCTGATAAAATTTAGCAAACTGAAGCAACATCAATGTATGTTGTCACACAAATTCAAATCAAAATCCAAACATTGCACGAGATATAAAAAAATTGACATCAATGTGACAACGGGAAAGATGTGAAGCCCAACCTATGATATGTACTCCCTCTGTAAATAAATATAAAACGTCTTATGTTTGTTACAGAGGTTATACTATTAGTGTCAAATTTGTTAACTTTTTTTACCTCGAGCAATGTTTTAAATTTTTATGACAACGTAGATAGATGTTGTGTGAATGTGCTATGGGCATCCGGTGCACCGGTAGCACCACAAGCACCGGAAAAAGCTGCATGCTTGTTGCGTCAAATATTCGGGCAAACGCACAGGCGAATCACCAACGCGTGAATTTGGACCAGCCCATTATACCAGAGTGAGGAAGGCGGTTTCCGAACCTTTTTTTCTCTTACAAGTTTTCCAGTTTCTTTTGTTTTCTTGGTTTTTTCTCTTTCTCTTTTTTCTTTTCTTCCTGTTCTTTTTCATTTATTTTCGTTTTTATTTTATTTTTCGTTTCTTTTATTTTTTTTCCAAAAAGTGTTCAAATTTCAACTAAAAATGTTTTTTCTTAAAAAAATCTAAATTAAAAAATGCTTGTCTTTTAGAATTTTGTTCATAAGTTTAGAAAATACTGAATTTCATAGAGTCTTCATATTTCTTTAGATTTTAAAAAAATCGTGTTTTTATTTATTTTCCAAAATTTCATAACTAGGCATGTTTTCTAATTTTGCTCATAAACTCAGTAAATGTTCAAGAATTTTAGAAAATGTTTGCGTTTTCAAGAAATGTTCTGAAGTTAAAAAATGTTCTTGTTTTCAATTTTTGTTCACAAATTAAAAATGTTTGGGATTTTAGAAAATGTCCGCTTTTTTCAATTTTTGTACGTAGTTTCAAAAAATGATCCCATGTGGAAAAATCTTTAAAAAATGTTGGTGTTTCCAAGATTTTTGTTTTTTTGAAAAATATGTCATATTTTTGAAATAAATTGGATTTTTCAAATGTTGTTTGCAATTTTAAAAACTATTCAGGATTTTAGGAAAAAATCTCATTTTTAAACAATGTTCAAAAATCCCCCAAAAAATCGCAGTTTTCGAAAAATATTTTGGAATTTGGAAACTTTTCAAAATTTTCAATTTTTTTTGGAATTTCATAAATTATTTACATTTTTCACAAGATATACGACATTTTAAAATTGTTCGTATTTTTACATGGAATGTTTTTTATATATGTATGGTGATGTGTGTTCTTGTTCACTTTCGCTATATATCACCAGTAGCAATCCTCAGGTAGAGTGGCTAGCTGAAAACAGTGTATAGAAATCAACTTTCAAAACGATAAGGAGATTGAGTCTAAAGCCTGCTTAGCCTTACTCTTAGAAGATTTATTGTATAAGATCGAAAGACTAAATGAAGATCTTTGCATAAAAACTCTAGAAAAAGAGTGGGCAATGACGTTCCCAATCCTTGGGACAAACTTAATTTCACATGTTCTAAGATGAGAAGAGTGATTAAGAAATTCAGCAAGCACCAGTCTGATCCTTCAATGTCCTGGACTCTCCAATAGGTTTCTTGCTTTTACCGCTTCAACAAAATTCCTGCAATCAGAAAAAAAGACATCAGAATTTCATCCTAGAGCTTTAACCACCACAGCTGCTATAGAGTTAATCCAGCTTGAATAAATATTCTCCCCAGAAGCTTGAATAAATATAGTATGACTGTTAGCATCATTTTTGAAATGCACCAAGTCCAACTTCCTCTTTTTGCAATCTCCGACATCACTGTACGCCGAAAGACATGCAATTTGAGACTGAATATTTGGAACCTGAAAAGGAGAAACATTGTTGTTGATGGAATTGGTCTTAGCCTCCTCTTTCTCCTCACTTAAATCAGCATTTAGAATTGCTTTTGTAGCATATATGACCTACATAATGTTGTCTTCCTATTTGACGCAAAATGCGCCATATTTTTTTTTGGTGCACCAGATACATCCCCAGTTCTAATCAGCCGCTTAATGGGCCATAATCTGCTAGTCTGCTCGCTAAGAAACAAAAGTCTGCTCGCTCAGAAACAAACTGCTAGAAAGTCCACAAGATTCCTCACTTCCTCCGTCCTCGTCACTCTCACACCGTTGACCGCATCGTCGTCGGCAGTCGGCAATGGAGGCCGATCCCCATCCGGCGGTGGTGCTGCACGCTTGCTTGGGCGTGGGCCACCTCACCCCCATGGTGGAGCTCGCCAAGCTCTTCCTCCGCCGCGGCATCCCCGTCATCATCGCTGTCCCGACCCCTCCGGCCTCCACCGCCGATATCTTCGCCTCCTCCGCCCCCGCCGTCGCAAGCCTGGCCGCCGCCAACCCCACCATCTCCTTCCACCACCTCCCGGCCCCGGACTACCCCAACCCGGACCCGGACCCCTACCTGCAGATGGTCGACACGATCCGCCTCACCGTGCCGTCCCTCCTCGCCTTCCTCCGCACCCTCCCCTCCGTCGCCGCCCTCGTCCTCGACACCTTCTGCGTCGACGCCCTCGACGCCGCCGACGCACTCGGCGTCCCGGCGTACATCTACTTCACCTCCTCCGCCGCCTACCTCGCGGCGTTCCTCCACCTCCCCCACTACCTCGCCACGACGGACGGCGGCGACTTCAAGGACATGGGCAAGAGTCTCCTCCGCTTCCCCGGCGTCCCGCCGATCCCTGCCTCGGACATGCCCCAGATCGTGCAGGACCGCGCGAGCCGGACTTGCGCCGTGCGGATGGGGCAATACGGGCGCAAACCGGAGGCCCGGGGCTTGCTGATCAACACCTACGAGCGGCTGGAGGCGAGGGCCGTGACGGCGCTCAGGGACGGGGTGTGTCTCCCTGGCCGCCCGACCCCGCCGGTGTACTGCATCGGCCCACTGATCGTGAAAGGCGAGTCGGCTCCACAAGCGCAGGGCGCGTGCTTGTCGTGGCTGGACGCGCAGCCGGAGCGGAGCGTGGTGTTCCTCTGCTTCGGCAGCTTGGGCGCGATGTCGGCGGCGCAGCTCAAGGAGATAGCGTGCGGGCTCGAGAACTCCGGCCACCGCTTCCTGTGGGTCGTGCGGAGCCCGCCCGAGGACCCGGCCAAATACTTCCTGCCGCGCCCGGAGCCAGACCTGGACGCGCTCCTCCCCGATGGGTTCTTGGATAGGACGGCCGCGAGGGGGATGGTCGTGAAGATGTGGGCGCCGCAGGTGGAGGTGCTGCGGCACGCCGCGACCGGCGCGTTCGTGACGCACTGCGGGTGGAACTCCGTCCTGGAGGCGGCGTCGGCCGGGGTGCCGATGCTGTGCTGGCCGCAGTACGCGGAGCAGAGGGCGAACAAGGTGTTTGTGGTGGACGAGATGAAGCTCGGGGTGGTGATGGAAGGGTACGACGAGGAACTTGTGAAGGCGGAGGAGGTGGAGAAGAAGGTGAGGCTGGTGATGGAGTCGGATGAAGGGGAAAAGCTGAGGGGAAGGCTGGCATTGGCCAAGGAGAAGGCGGCTGAGGCGCCGGCGGACGGCGGCCCGTCGAGGACGGCGTTCGCCGAATTCTTGAAGGATTTGAAGCTCCAGAAGTGATCAAACAGAGATTGTAGCTAGAGCTTATTGAAAATTTGGAACAGGTGATTCTGCAGATTTGCATCAGTAATTCCCTCTCGAAACTACCCCTTATTATGATGCTATGCTATGCAGATTTTATTACTGCTTCAGTAATTATACTCTTGATTCAAATGATGTGGCATGGCTTAGCTAGTTAGCTGTGCTTCCAAATCGAAGAGATCAAAGACCTTCTCTCCTCACAGGATGAAGTTACCGTGGTTTGGGCTAGTCTAACCGCAAATTCTGCGGCACATAAACTAGCTAGAAATGGCTGCCTGAATAAGTTATGTAAGACTTGGTTTTTTGTTCCACCGGATTGTATTTGTGACATTGCCGTGGCCGAGGCCACTTAGATAATAAAGGCAGCGAAGTTGAATCTCAGGAAAAAAGAAACTGCGCTTCCAAATTCCACAATGAAGTTGTCAAAACTGCAAGCGCTCCTCGGCAGTATGATCTACCACAAACACATAAACAATATGTTGCTTTCATTCAGAACTGACAGTCACTAAATTTGGTTGCTCACTGGCGCAACATGCTCGACACCAGGGGCGGAGCCAGGATTTGGGTATAGGGGGGGCCAAGCAAAGTAGGAAAAAAATCCAGTGCAAAAGATAATTATAGAGAGCAAGGTTGATAACTTGCACAACAGTCTCCTTAACAATTTTAGTAAGTTGAGAATTCGAAGCAACCAGCTTAGAAAATAATTAATCTTAAAGGTGTTTGGCAGCAGGTTATTTTCTGTTCATAGTTGAGGAATTTCAATTTCAGAAGGAACCAGCTTGAAAACCAAATTAATTTTAATGGTGTTTGGCAGGGCTTTTTCTCTTCATAATTGAGCAATTTCAGTTTCATAATTAGCTATACTGTATAAGGTTGACATAGAAATTTTTCGCATCACAAATAGGAACAGATACAAGATAATTTGGATCACGATAATTTGTGGGATACTTACACAATATGAATTCTTGGTAGCATCTCAAATCTAAAAAGAAACTAAAATCTATGTATAGTTTCAAATTTTCAACACTGATACGAGATGAGAGTTGAGAGAGGTTAGTAGTGTGATATGTTAACCTGCTAATTCGTCGTATGAATCAGATAGTGAGTAGTAGGGCAAGGAGATCAGAGGCAGACGGTGGCAAGGGCACACGGCAGCCACAGCCGCAGCCGCGTCTAATCCCATCAACTACACACCAATCATGGATGAAAAAGGCATCCCAGGAGATTAGTTTTTTTAAGCAGTATCTCAGGATATTAGATCGGAGGCTACATTGCCCATATGGCCGCTAGTGGGCTCTTTTACTATGGGCTTTTTCCTCCTTTACCTAAATACACGTACAGAACCTGAGATAGGAGGGGCCAGTATGCTTGTACGTGCGATCGTATCGCTGATTGCCTATGCATCTTTCACGCATCGCTCGATCGTTAGGGGGGGCCAGACCCCTGCTCGCCCCCCCTTGCCTCCGCCACTGCTCGACACGGCATGTAATCGAGTAGTAGCGGCAGGATAGATGTACGTTTTGATTTACTTCTTGTTCTTTTGTTTTTGTTTTGGCCGCTGCTACGCGTAAGCCAGCTGATCTTGGAAAAGATCAGCCGCCTACGCAGCCGTCTGATTTAGACGTACCTGGCTGTTAGATCACAGGCTATTAGCAGCGTGTCTTTCTCTTCTTCTTTCACATTCTTCTCTTGCCTTACATTCACCAGGGCGATGAAAGAAACCTCTACGGACCTTGTATGCCCATTCGTTGGAAGCAGTAGCCCCACACTGGTAGGCAGTGCAGCGCTGCCGTTCGTCGGAGACTCGTTCTGGTCGCGGCAGCCCTGTCATCATATCACAGACGATACTCCAATGCAACATCGGTCGGCCCAGCGATGCTCCAACGCAGCACTGGAGCCCCGGCGATGCTTCAACGCAGCACAGGTCTCGCGGGTGCTTCATCGCAGCACTGGTGAATCTGCATCACAACACGGGCGAACCCGACGATGCTTCATCGTAGCTCCGGTGCCTCGACAATGCTTCATCCAAACACCAACGGGTGATGCTATGCAGCACGCGGCGCTGGCGGCGCATGCTGCTATTCAGCGGTGGCGACGACGCATGCTATAGCAGCATGCGGCGGTTGACGGAGTTGACGACATATGCAGCGACAACATGCATCAGCGGCGCCGCATGCTGTGATGCAGCAGCAGCGACAGCGCATTCAACGACAGCACGCGGCGGCGACGGTGAAAGCTGCTAGGCAGCACACTGCGGCGACGGTGCATGCTGCGATGCAGCGGTGCCGACGGTGCATGCTGTTACGCAGCACACGGCAGGCCATGGTGACGGCGAAAGCTGCTAGGCAGCACACAGTGGGGAAGGTGCATGCTGCGATGCAGCGGCGGCGGCGGCGACGGTGCATGCTGTACACAACACACGGTGGCGGCGGGCGCATGCTGCGATTCTGCGGCGACGATGACGGATGTATCGACAGCAGGTGGCGGCGCCGATGCGGTTGCGACGGCGGATGCTGCGTTGGAGCATAGTGTGTGGTATTGCTGGTGGCCTGGGCTAGGAAGCAACCAGCTTTGCCATGCACTTGCAGCAACATCCATGGCGAAGAAGACCAGAGCTTATAAAAGAGTAAAAAAGGGATCACGTTTGTGCGGAAGAAAAAGAAGACGAGCGGCTCACATGCTCGCGTCGAAGGATAAGGTTGGGACGGCGTGGGTGGGTCCATGGGAACCGTGGCATGCGTGTAATGACGGAGAAGCGTGTACCGCAGGATCGACTTCATCGGATGGCTCGGGACGCGACTTAAGCTACTCAAAGATCAGTCGGTCTACAGGAAGAGTTTTCCTTTTGTTTTTGTTTTGGGAAACGTTTGGGGCCGGGGCACCGGCGGAAACATTGGGCCGGTCTCCCTCTTCCTCGCGTCTCCTTCATGGGGCGCGCGGTAGCCCTCTTCTTCTGCCCCCTCCTCTCCACCCCTTCCCCATCCCTTCCCCTCTCCCCGAGCTGCGACTGGGCCACCACGAGCTACTTCGCCGGCGGTCAGGCTCCCCTCGCCGACTGCCATGGCTGCCTGCCGCCATGGCCAGATCCATCCCCTACCTCAAGCCTTCACGCGAGCGCATCCCCTCCCCCCCTTCCCCCTCCCCCTT